TCCTCTTTACATTTATTAGTTTCCATTTACTTTAATTATTTTGAAGTAATATATGAACATATTCGGTGTGTAAACATCCCAGCAATACAGAAATATAGTAAAATTACTCCACTTTCCCCCCCTTTTTTTCCTGGTGCTAGGGGAGGAACTCAAGGCCTTGTAAATACTAGGCAAGCACTGAGCTATGCCTCTGGCCATTTCCTGTTTACTTTCCTCTAAGACCCTTGCCTCCTTTTCAAAGATACCCAGACCCATCTGTCTGATGTAGACCTTCCACATCTCTCTCTAGATATTTATATTCAATATCATTACTTTCTCCCATGTGGTATCTATTATTTAATTTAAAAATTAAAAAACATACACACAAACAAGTTTTTTGTTTGTTTGTTTCTGCAGGGCTGGAGATTGAACCTGACACCTTACACATGTTGGGTAAGTGCTTGCCACTGAGCTGCACCCTCAGCACAGAAACTTTCTATTTCAAATTCTTTCTTATTCATTTACCTGTCCCTGGGACAAAATAACCTGACACCCACATCTTAAATGAGGAGAGGTTTATTTTGGCTCATAGTTTCAGAGGGTTCAGTCCATGATTGGCTGGCTCCAAGGCAGAAACAGCATGGCAGAGGGGCATGGTGGAGGAATGCTGGTCAATGCATGACAACCAGAAAGCAGAGAGAGAGGGGAGGAGCCAGGGACAAGAATACACGCTTCTAGATCATGACCTCAGTGACCTGCCTCCAACCAGGCCCTACTTCCTAACAGCACATCCAACTACTGAACTCATAAATGGAGGAGTCCACTGATGTATAACACCACATGATCCAATAACTTTTCACACCCATGAGAATGGTCAGGAAAATTTTAGATCTAAACCATAACATTCTGCCCTGGGCCCCAAAAGACTCATGTCCATCTCATTATGCAAAGTGCATTTAGTCCATCCCTAAGAGTTGCCAAAGTCCTAACAGTTTTAATGTTGCTGAAAAGTGGAAATCCAAAGTCTCCTCTGAGACTCAAGGAAAATTCTTAGCTATGAGCTCTGTAAAAATCAGAAAGAAAGAGGGCCTGGGATTTAGCTCAGTGGTGCTGTTCCTGCCTGGCAAGTGCAAGGTCCTGAGTTCAATCCCCAGTACCTAAATAAATAAATCAGAAAAAAAAGTTAAACAAACATACAATGGTACAGGGTAAACATTCCCATTCCAAAAAAGGAGAAATAGGGAGATAGAAAGGAATTAGATCAAAGCAAGACTGAAACCCAGCAGAGAAAACATTAAATCCTGCAGTTCCATGTCCACACCTGAGATGTGAACTTGAAAGGGGTTGGACAGTCCCACCCCAATGCCTTTCTGGTTATAGCCCACACTGCCTGTCCCTTGGGCTGGCTGTGCTTGACACCTGCAGAAGACCATAATATTGATTAAGCCTAAAGCAGGCTGTGAAGAATTAACCCAATTGGCTTGTTTATAGAAGTGAGTCTGGCTGAAACCTACGTGCCAAGGTCAGAGTAACCGCACCCAAATTCCATTCCCACAACTAAAACCTTCTGACGAGAAGGACAGTGTTCTAATGACAACCATATGTTTTGTCTATTTTGTTCCTAATTTGAGAATGCTCTGTCTTATCTTTTATGAGCCTTTTTTACATTAATTTCCATAGAAACTGCACATAGCTCGCCTTTACCCAAATTGGGACTGGCCAGTGCCTTTGTTGGTTCCACCAGTATTGCTCACTCTGGCACCCCACTTTCTCTCTCCTAGTTCTGTCTTCTAGTTTTATTTCTCAGGCCCGCATCATATGCTGGGCAGAGTACCGAACCTAACTGCAGGGGTCGCTGGTAGACACTTATAGTTTTCCTCAGCAAATATTCCACATTCCTGGCATCTCCGACTTTCTAGAGTATCCACTGCACCTTTGGCTTTACTCTCATAGCTTTCTACATTGCTCTCTCTGGGGCACACTGTTTGGCCTCCAAGGCCTTCTTCTGAAATCTCGGTGGAAGCTTCCATGATCCCATAACTCTTTGATTTTTCATGCCTGTTAAACCAGCATCACTTGCATGACACCATGGTCTGCAGCAAGGTTGAGCAGTAGCCAGGCCCCATTGGATCATAGCTGCAGAGGCTTCTAAGTGTCTAGATGGCTGAGCATGGTGAAATAAATCCTGAGGAACCAATTTCCCAGGCAGCCCTGAATGAGCAGACATTTCAGGAACTACCTTCTCGAGTGAAAGCTTTATAGGGTTACAGCCTTGAGCTGCCAAAGGGTGGTGTCTTGCTGATTCTCAAGGTGCCTTCAAGCAGTCTTCCTTATTGTCCTGATGCAAAGTACTTGATTTCTTTTGAATGGGATTCTTTTCAGCAGCCATGCTCTCTGTGGCCCCAACTTTATAGGCACTTTCTCTCTGGTCAAACTGCAATTTTTTTCAAATTATTCAACTTCACTTTTTGTTTCTGCTTCTCAATGTAGATCTGACCAAAAGTAGCCAGTAGTACCCATGCCACAGTCTGAATGCTGACTACCTGGAGATTTACTCTGCTAGATTAATTAGTCTGCCGTCTTTAAATTCAGCTTCACACAGTCTTACGACATGGGCAAAATGTAGACAAGTTCCTTGCCAGAGTGTAACACACTTGGCCTCTAGTCCAATTGCCAATACAGTCCTCATTTCCAACTGAAACCTCCTGAGCTTATCATTTACTGTTTGCATTCAAATCAGCATTCTGGTTTTTTTGCTTTGTTTTGTTTGGTACCGGGGATAGAACTTGGCTCCTTGCACTTGCAAGACAGGCAGCAAAACCGCTGTGCTAAATCCCTGGCCCAGAAGATGGCTTTTTAAAAGCAGAGATTTGAACAGATCGTTGCACACTCACGTTCCTAGCAGTAGCCCCGAGTCAAGGTGGAAGAACCCACGTGCCCATCACAGATGAGTGGATGTGCAGTGCTACATGCACAATGGAAAGGTTTTCAGCCTTAGGAAGTGAGGAAGTGCTGACCCAAGTTGCAGCATACATGGACCTGAAGGACACCATGCTGGGTACAAAGGACAGATACAGTGATGCCACTGTGTGAGATGTCAGGGGTGGTCAGACCCACAAAGACAAAAGGCAGGAAACAGCAGCCAAGAGTTAGAGTTAGCATTTGGCATGGAATTTATGTTAGTCATAATCAGACAGCAGTGCAGGTGGCACAATGGAAGTGTACTGTATCTTAGTGCCACTGAATTATACACAGAAAGTGATAAAACTGTAAATTTATGTTTTGTGTATTTTACATCTAAAATTTCAAAAGTGACATTAGTTTTGGAGCCAATCTACCTGTTTAGATCCAGCCTTGACCTGAGCAGGTTGCTACCCTCCACCTGTGCCTGCCTGTGCTGTGGGTATTTGCAGGTCCTGAGCAGGAGGCTGTGCTCCAGTGTACGGGAAGCCTCCAGGGTCTCCCCTCGAGCTGAGCACTGGTCAGTTCCCAATGTCCTGGGGAATCTTGGGCCTTCCTGTGACCTTTAGGGTCTTCCCACGACCCTCCTGGGCTCCTCACTGTGATCTTCCTTGTCCCCCTGTGACCTTCAGGCTCTTCCCCTTGTGGCTTGCTGCTTCCAGACTGGGGCTGATGGGCACTACCCATGGAGGCCCCAAGTCCCCAGCCCAGGCCTTGGTACTGCGGGCGTCAGTGCTGGGCAGACACTGGCCATCCTCTCTCCAGGCCTCGGGTTCCTGTCCACAGAACAACAGTGTGGGGACCCAGGCTCTGACACTGTGCCCTGGGGATGGGGTGCCCACAGGGGAGAGGAAGGGGTAGGAGCAGACAGGTGATGGCAAGAGTGTGCCGAGGGAGACAGGAGCGGGGTGCAGACAGGGCAGATACAGAAGGTGCCTGAGGGTGCTCTGTGGCAGCCCGCACACCTCCCAGTCCTGAGTGTCCCCAAGGCACCCTTGGTCTGGTCGCCTCGCAGCACGGCCGGGCCATGTGTTCCCAGCGTCTACCACGAGGTGGCGCACCCGACACGCTCCCTGGTGGTGTGTATAGGAAGGAGGCGGGTCTAGACTGGGTCACAGTGGCTCCCTCTGTATTTCTCCAGCGCAATAACCTTGACTTTGTTTTTTGTTTTGTTTTCTTCAGTACGGGAGATGGAAATCGGGTCCTTGCGCTTGCACAGCAGGCGGCGGAACCACTGAGCTAAATCCCCGAAGCCAACATTTCAAGATGCCTTGTGTGGAGCTGAGGTAGTGGAGACCTGGACTTTGCCAGATGGAAGCTGTGTGATTTTGGGCACAGCTTTGAGCCTGAGGTTTCTCTACATAAAACACCACTTGTCAGAGTGACAGTGTGTATGTATCCCATGTGTGCATGAGCATGTGAGCTTGTGGGTGCTTTTACACTGCGGAGTGCACATGGGTGTGTCTGTGTGTTCACGTGTACATGCTTGTGTGTGTGAGGCTCTGTGTACTGTGTGTGCACGCACGTGCCGGTGGGAGTTCACCTGTGCCTGTGTCTATGTGATTATGTATGCCTGTGTGTGCCTGTGTATGTGGTGTGTGTGCCTGTGTGTGCACATATGTATTTCTGAATATTTGTGCAAGTGTGCCTGTATGTGTCTACACAAGTGTGCACATTCATGTTTATGTGCACATCAAGCCAAGGTTGGGCATGGCCTGTGGAGTCTGGGGCTAGGCTGGGGCAGGACTGTAAAAGCTGTAAGGGCAGCAGGGCCTGGGACCCCAGCCACCAAGCGGAATGTGGGAGATTGGTGTCAGGAGACTTCCCAGAGGTGCTGGCCCCAGTTGTGCAGGCCACACTCCTGGCCCTGATCAGTCTGTGGCCCAGGCAGGGGCCGGGACTCCTCTCCTGGGCCTGGGCCCTGTGGAGCCCCTCTCTCTGTGGCATCTGCCCTGAGCACCCTGATTCTCCATGTGTGAGCAGCAGCCCTTCCTGAAGCACGTTAAGGGGAGATCTGATTACATCCTGTGGTGTGACCTCACTAATGCAATCAGGAAGTGTTCCCGGGCTCCAGCTGCAGTGCTGGCAGGGGGCGGCTCCTGGCGTCCATGCTGCTGGGCCTCAGCTCTCGCCAGGCAGGAGGCACCCAAGACCCTGCAGCCGGCTGGTCCCTGGGGAGGAGCCACTCGGCCTCTGCTCCTTCCCTGACTCTGATTCTACTCAGAATCAAGGAGTCTTTGTCTGTCTGGAGAGAACATCAGCAACAAAGAGTCAGCACTTTGGAAAAGTCTCCAGAACGTGGTTGTTTTCCATCAAGGTCAGGCTCTTACTTGAAAATTTTAAGAGAAGGCATTTGGGGAGAGTCCAGAACTTCTCCACGCTATAGTGATGAGCCATGATGACAGCCTGGGTGTGTTAGCTCCCAGACTGCCCAGCAGCGTCCCTGACTGGCCAAGGGGTCAGGTGGCTGGGAGGGATGAGGCACCTGCTCCTTGTCAGGCACTGGGGTCCTCATCTTCCCTGCGGGGGAGCAGGGGCCAAAAGGTGCTGCAGGCAGGAGTCCTTGTGATAGAGTCAGGGTGTAGAGGAGGGGAAGCCTGGGGCAGGGGCTTGGGGTAGCTGGGAGGCCCTTTTCCATTGTGTCTGGTGGCCAGGGTGTCCCTGTGTCCCTTGTCCTGTGGGTCCCAGCTGAGCTGGCTTTGTGGGTCCTGCCATCACCTTGTGAGTGGAGTAGACAGAGGGAGGCCTCTGTAGATGTCACCTGTCCCCAGCAGGGCTCCGGGGAACCTGGGTTCTGGGCTGAGGACCCAGACAGGCAGAACCCACCATGGCTACAGTCAGCCACACAGCACAGGGCTTAGGGACCTGGGGGTGGGAACAGGGCCCGGCAGTGTCCAGGATGCCAGTGCTGGGTCCTTTGACTCAGGACCTGTGGGCCATGGACCCAGCATCTCTGCCTCTCCACGTGATGTTTGCAGGCTCCTGCCGAGGGTGAGGTGTGGGGATGATGTCAACGCAGGGTCTGAGGAAACCCCACCTGCAACCTTCGTCTGGAGCAACACATGCCAGGTGGGTTCTGAGAACAGTGTTGTCACTCACTCCTGGTGACAGGAGGGCCACAGGGTCCAGGAGGTCTGTGACAGGTGACTGACCCATCTGTGGACCATGCTGTGCAAGGTGTAGGGAGGACGGGTCAGTTCCGTGGGACCCATGCCCGTCACACTGAGGACGCTATGGGTGACCTCCTGCTTCTGTCCCAGGCCCAGCCAGAGCCCGCGGTGTCCCCAACCGCTACCCCCCCCATCCCTTTCCTCCTCATGCTAGTGTCTGTCTCCTGTGGGTTCATTCACCCGAGTCAGAACCAGCTGTGTCTTGTTATTTGGGGAGGGACTGGGCCCCACAGGGAACAGCAGAGACTCAGTGATGCCCTCAGGATCTTCCTTGGCACTGACAAGTCCAGAGACAGGTTCTGAGAACTCCAGTCTTCCAAGGGACAGTGAAGGCTCTGCCCAGCTTCCTCTTGCCTTGGCAGTTCTGGGCCGGATGCCAGGCTGCCTTCCTGGGGTCCCTGGAGCAGCCTGGTCCCCCTTGCCCCACAGGGGCACGCCTGGTCCGCTCTTTGCATGGTGGCTACTCCTGGGGTAGGCTGGCCCCTCAGGGCAGGGCCAGGGAGCCATGGGGGTATAGCTGGGAGGACAGCAGGGATGGTCTTCGCCCCACATGGGGAAGTCAGGATGCAGAGAAGGACAGAGCTAGATTGAGGAGCGGCTGCCATGGGACAAGGCTGCGGGGGCAAGTGGAGCCCCTACCCACTGCTCTCCATGCCCTCGTGGTGTCTGCTCAGCCCTCTGCACTGGCCTGACCCTTGGGCAGCTTTGCCCTCCGTCCCTGCCCCTGCTGCTGTCCTTGGCCTTTGTGCAGGACCCCTGGAGCCAGGTGGAGTGAGGCTACCTGGTCCCTGTGGGATCCAGATCAGTGTGCTGGGTGGGTGCACGTGGCAGGGCTGCAGTGGGAGCCGGGTGCAGGGATGCAGCCATCCTAGCTGTCCTTCCCGCTATGCGTGAGTCATTCCCCAAGTCACCTACATCTGTTCATCTGGGGATGCCGCTGTCTTCTTCCCCACAGGCCAGAGGTGGCTGGGGAAGCACTTTCCCTTCATCAGCCCCAGAAAGCCTCACCAGGCAGAAGGGAGATTTACTGTCCTGTCAGTGAGGCCATTGCTCACCAGAGAAGATGCAAGGTCATCCTGCCAGGCAGCATTGCAGGGCAGATTAAATCATCGCCGCAGCCTCCCTGCTTCCATGTCACTGTCACAGCTCTGGTGGCCTCTGGGCTGGGTTCACCCTTAGATGATGGCAGGACTGAGGGCCAGTGTCCTTCAAGATGGCAGAGATGTCCCCATGGATGCCTGGTGGCCCCAGTGGGAGGACTGAGATGATCTTGTGCCACTCAGCACTGCCACGCCCAGCTGGGCGGGAGGGTCACGGCCCTTGAAGGATGCCTTTGCCTGTCCTCAGGGAGAGGTGACTCTGTGGGATTCCCACCCCTTTCCCATCCTGTGGGATTGGCTGCCAGGCACTGGGCTCCAGGAGGGGAGGTGCCAGTGGTCCCAGGGGTGCCCGAGGGAGCAGCTCCTTAGCTGTTTCCTCCTGTCCCCTCTGCTCTGCATCTCTAGATCCCTCCCTGAGCTGTGCCACCAGGACCAGGCAGGGAGGTAGAGTGGGCAGCCTCTGGGGTGGGCATGGTCACCAGGAGGGACAGAGGGCACCATCATGATCATGGAGGGAACACTGGACAAAGGTGACCTTCACATTTGCCCTTGGGCTCAGTGGACAGATGGAATCTTCAGGCTGATGAGGCCCTGGCTGCATCTTCACTTTTTTGGAAGGCGTAAGCAACTGTGCCAGTGTGAGTGTGATTGTGTGCACACAAAACAGGGTGGCAGGTGAGGCTTGGGTGGGAGTGTGCATGGTGACAAGACATGAGGACAGGGTGGATGTGGGGAGGGCTCAAGTTGCAGGGTGACACTGGGGAAGGCTGGGGAGAGGACAGGGCTTGTGTCAGAGGATACAGTGTCTGCCTCTCCTCACCAGAGTCCACAGAGCCACAGCCATCTGTGGACACTGTGGGGACCCAGGTGTTGGACACAATGACCAGCTTGTGGTGAGCCCCCCTGCACAGCATATACTTGGCCATGCATGTGGCAGAGCTAGCTAGGAAGACGGGGCAGAAAGCAGAGTGTGGGCCGGCCCAGTGGAAAGTGTGGAGCCCACATCTGCATGTGAGGTGTGAGTGTGACACTTGTGACCCCAACTCTGTTCTCGGCTGTGAAGAAGCCCTAGTGACAACAAGGACGCACACAGGATCCCCTGCCTGATCACGGTGCTCACATCTGGAACCTGGTCGATAACAGCACCCAGAGCAGACACAATGATGAGAGACGCAAAGACTCAGGCCAGCAACACAGGGAGCAGCATGAACACAGCATCGGGGGGAGCATGTGACCTGCAGTGCAGGTGCGGAGCAAGACAGGAGGAAAACCAGGGAGCCCCGAGTGCAGTGGTGGGCGTACAGAGGGCATAGGGCTAGGATGGTGGGAGGGCAGGGTACAGTGGAACAGGGGCCCCAAGGCTCTGATTCACCCCTCAGGAGGCCCGAGGAGGGAGTAGGAGTCGGGGGCAGGGCCTCAGGATTTGCCTGAAAATGGGATCCTGAGGGGGCAGAAGAGTGTGCCAGCTGCTTCCTGTGTGTCCCTGTCCTTGGCCAAGTTTCCGTATGTAAGGAGAATACTGCATACATGTGCTTGACAGTTTCCCACCATATGCATCATCCGCGTTTCCCCAGTTTGTCATTTTCTTTTGAATTGGAAGGAACAGGGAATAAAGAGAGAATGAAACCCTTTGATGCATCTTTCTTCTCAGGGACCCAGTATTTTCATTTGCTGTGATAAAACAAGTGAAGTCCTGCTCAGAGGGTGCCTCCAGTTTATCAAACCCCAGGACAGTTTGGGGGTCACCCCCCATACACTGGCAGCGGGGACCCCCCTCGCTGTCTCTGTCTGTGGGTGCACGTCCCTGTTGTTTCCCTGTCCCTTGCTGTGACAGAGGTCTGCTTCCTTCCTCTTCCTGTGCCATTCCAGGAGTGTGTGTGTCAGAGAGGCAATGGAGGTTCAGGGTAATCTCTCTGTGTCCCGGCTGCCGTGTCTCATGGAGGGCAGTGAGGCACCGAACCAAAGTGTGAATGCGTCGCTCTTGTCCGTCTTTGCCTGGGGCGGCAGGCTCTTGATGAACACATTCATGGGAGAGGACAGAAAAACAGAACCGCATGTTCTCTTGTATGGAGACCCCAAGACATCGGGCCCGGAGGAGCAAGAGCAGGATGGGGTCCCCGAGACTGGCCAGGGCATGGAGTCACAGCTGGGCTGGAGGAATTCCCGGGCTCCACTCGTGGAGGAGGCTGTGACTGATAATGAGTGCTATATTTCAATTGCCAGAAAAAGGATTTTGAGCTTGTCACTACAAAGAAATGGAGCACATTTGAGGTGTCAGACATGCTGTTTACTCCAACCTGATGGTCACATGATGCACACATGTGTGGACACCACATCTGATCCCATGCAGACTGACGATTATGTGTCAGTACAAAACTGCATTACGCTGAGGCCCTGTGATGAGGGAGATGTGCATTTTATAGGTCTCCCACTTGGGGCAAGGCTGCCTCCATCAGGACTGTCAGTCCCAAGGAGAGCTCACAGGAAAACACCCACACTCCAAGTCTGGCCCCAGGGTGGGAGAGAACAGCAGGCACAGGCAGTTCACCCAGTTTGGGGACGGGGCCTGGGGACCCTGCTGCTCACAGCCAGGGGGTTCCTACACCATCCAGCCCCTCAGCCCCTCACCGTCCCATTAGCCTGACACCACTTCCTTCTGCGGGTGAAGGTGTTTTTGGATGGGTCTCCTTGGGGAGGTGGCATCTGGGGCCACTGAGTGCTGAGTGCTGGTTCCAGGCTGGGCGGAAGTAAGTCCCGGGCTGCGTGGGAATTTCAACCTTTCACCGTTCGGGGCTGTGGCCACTTCTCCCCGTCTTGCCTCCTTCCGTCCTTTTCTCCTTTTCCATTATTAGCCGGAGTAATGCAGTGAGGAGAAGCCTTTCAATGATGACCGCCGACCTTGGGAAGGAAATGAGTTTCCTTGTTTCTTGGAAAGGGTGTGGAGCAAGTCCGGGCAGCCAGCTCAGCCTAGGGGCCCCCATGGAGGAGCCCAGGGCAGCTTTGGCTGGGCAGGAGGGCATCTTGGGCACGGAGGGTGCCTCCTGGGTCTTGGAGACCCCAGCCTGCTGGGCACCACCCCCGGGCAGCCCCTCTGCCCGCACCCATCGCCCCCTGCTTTCCTGTTCCCCGCCTGTGCCCTCCATTCCTGGCCTCCCTCTCTTCTGTGTTGTTGCTGTTACCCTGCATGAGCTCTTGGCAATGCTCTCTCTATGGGGTTCTAGCTTCATCTGTGTCCGTGTGGCCCATGCTCCCACATTGCTGCTGTGAACCTGCTTCCCCAGACACATGTGCCACCATCCATGACAGTGTCCTTGTCTTCCCTGTCTCTGTGCCCCACCTGTGTCCCCCACACCCACCTACATCCATGGTCACCACAGGGTCGGAGAGGGACAGCTTGGGAGGAACCAGACTGGGAGAGGAGCAGCAGATGAACATTTTTCTCCTTCCAAGTGTTTAAACCATGGAAAAGGCTGCATTTGCCTCTCAGCACAACCTCGGCATTCTTCCCTTGGTTCAGGTTTACTCTGATGCAAAAACTGCTCATGAAAGTACATGAGCCAATCTGGGACCTGAGTGGCTATGGAGGCTGTGGTGCCCAACGGTGGTCCCTGCATGTCTCCTTATCCTCCTTCCCGTGTGGTTGTCCTGCAGCCTGGCTTGTCCTCTCCAGGAGGGACAAGTGGGAGATGCTCCAGGGACCTATGGCTGCCAGATCTTTCCAGAATCAAGGACTCGCTTTCTGGATCAGGACTCACTCAAATTCTGCTAGCAACATGAGAGGGAGGTCTTAGGCTAAGGATTGGAGACAGCTGACTCCACTTTTTCTGAGGTCCTTCTAATTAATAATGAATAATGATGTTTTAATTAACATTTGTGTGCTCACTGTGCGGGGCATTTGGATAAGCATTACAGATGACAGAACCCTGTTTGTCTTCAACCCATCCTGGCACCAACCATCTTAGCATATCTGATTCACTGAGCTGGCACCTGGGTCAATGAGGTCACCAGCTGGGGCACCTGGCAGGGATTCAGCAAGCCCACAGTACACTTAACCAGGACAGCAGGGTGTTACACTTCCTTGAGCACTGGTTTCTGCTCTCAGTGTGAGCATTTGCTTCCAGTGTCCAAGCTCTGGGAGACCCTGGGCTGCCACCACTCTCTGGCTTTCAGATGAGCAGGTCAGTCCCCGAGCGCCCTTTACCTGGTGACTGGTTACCCCGTCACCCCATACAGCCATACCTGGGCATTCAGCCTGTCTCCCAAAGCAAGGACAGTCTCTCCTATGACCATAGCATCACTATCTAGTTCAATACCCATCTCTTTGGGGCTGTCGTGCCGAAGGTGCTCTGTTTGAATCTGAGGTTCTTTTGTGATTAGATTTGGCAGCAGTGATGCTGTCTTCCTCAGGGCATCCTCTCCTTCAAATTGGTACATAATCCACACAAACATCTGTCCCCAGTCAGCTCCTGGTGGTGCTCTGAGCCCCGGGCTGGAGCTCGCTGCAACAGAGTCAACCATGAAGCTAAGAAATGGCACTTTTCCAGTGCAGTTCGTCCTTTGTAAGGGGAGTCCAGCCAGCCACTCAGCCCTTTCATTACTGGCGCTGTGGCACTGTGCATTCTATTTTTATACACCAAGTGTCAGGACTGTTTTCATGCTCCTATGACCTCAGGCACGGCCAGGAGCTGCCTCTGGGTCCTTCATGATGTCCTCGTCGGTTCTCAAACACATTCCAAGCACCACTAATTGTCCCAGGCTCACTGTGTGTATGTCAGTCAGGGTTCCCAAAGAACTGGAACCACGCAGGCACACACCTATGCTCTTAGGGGGACATTTACCACGGGAATCGGCCACATAGTCACAGGGGTTGAGAAGTCCGAAGCCTGCCAGGGAGAGTGCTGGAGTCTGAGGCCAGAGAGCCAGGGGCACCATGCTGGGCAGCAGAGGGAGGATCAGGCTCACCCTCCTCTCCTGTTTGTGCTGTTGAAATGGATGAGGTCCACCCACCCTGAGCGGGGCACTTTGCAAATCCTCATCTCTTACAGAAATACCTCACAGACATTCCCAGAAACAAGGTTTTGCCTGTGATCTACCTGTCTTTGTCCACTTTTCGTGGTGGAGAACTCAGTAGAGTAGAGAAGTTGAGTAGAGAAGTTGCAAAGAGGTTTATTTTGGCTGCAGTTCTAGCCTGAGGTCAGGGGCCACATCGGGTGCTGTCTGTGCTGGCAGTCTCAAGGTGGTGCTGGGCTTTCATCATAAGAGACCTGGCCACTATCGAGAAGACCCATCAATCCCAAGTCCACTGGTCACAGGAGTGGATTAGTCTGTTTATGAATTGTGCTGTCCTGGCTGCCTGGATGTCCTGAATCAATTAAAATGTTTCCCTACCATGGTTGTTTTGACTTTGGGGAAGAGCCAGAAGTGGCATGGTGCCAGATCCAGTCAGTAAGGTGGGTGAGGACACAGTGTTGTGTGTTTCTGAGCTGCCTTTCTGTTGAATGGCACTCAGCAGCAACAAACTGTACATTTTTTCCCCATTAAGTTTATTGGTGCATTGTAGGTATAAAATACAGTTACATTCATCGTTGGGATCTTGTACCTTTACATGAGTATCTTGGTTCTTATTTTTTTTCCCATTCCCCTGCCCTCCCTTCACCCCCTCCACCCTTCCCTATTTGCAAAGACTTTGTTTCCATTTTTT